AGATAAGAGGGTATGATGGTGATCACGCATCTTCCCGTTAGAAATATTGAATGTTACATTTTCAAAACCCTAACAGTTTCCAAATGCTTACTTTCCAACCTCATTCAACTGCGAAACTGGGTTTAGCTAAACTCACAAAGGTGTAAAACTGTACCGGATCCTGAACAGGGATATTTCTTCTTCCTTCCTGTGGATAGATACTCACACAAGCTTGTGAAACTTTTGACTTATTTTCCTCTGGGCGTTTTTTCTGACGTTTGGACTCTTAGTATCCTACTCACAAGAGCAGTCAATTATTGAGTAAAGATGGCCTTTATGTGCCAGTCCGGTCGTTGAACCTCGTGGAATATCATGGGTCAGTCGGTTTCAAAGATCTCAACCCTCAGAGACCCAACAATATCCTTATTATTAGTTTGCAACCGCATATTCGCATATACGTCTGCATATTTCGGAGCTAAGCATAACTGAAGGTCGTTGCATTATCCATCAACCGTAAACGCACCGTGTCGTCAGCCTCTGGCCGAACAAGGAAGATGCGTCTTCAAGGACGCAAGTCAACTTGCTTTTATTAGTAGAATGCATAATTTGAATCCGTGTTTCGTCGGCTGCTCGGAGTTTATTGCCCTGTAACATTTCCCTCCGCTTGAGGCTAAATTTGGTAACAGCCTATTATAGGTACCAGCACGGAAACCTAAACCCCAGAATTCTGCAATAAACGACATATGTGAACGGAGGTTATACGGGTGAGGCATAAAGAACGACGCAGGAGAGAATGTAAGCGAAATATAGGAACCAAAACAGGCAAGTAGTTAAAATTATTATGAAAGCGTAATATATAGTAACGCAAAAGCGCGCAATAATTGAAAAATTAATTGAAATAATAAAAAACATACTTGATTAACTTAATTTAAAAAATTAAATATTAAATAAATTGGCATTACCAACGGTCCCGTATTACAGAATTCTGGAATTTGGTGAAAGAAGTTCTTTGGGAAACGCTAATGAACTCTAATGTAAACTGTCGACTCTAGCACACCAGGTCGTCATCAGACGCGAGGAAAATGTATACAGGACAACGAGCACCGAAAAAATTGACAATACTTAGTCATCGTTGATCAATGGCAGAGCTGGTTGGTTGACGTCTTCTCTGGGCTTCCCTAAGGTTGGTAAACATCGCATCCAATTCGACGTGACTATGAATGCACGAGTCGTCAGAGCTAATGACCTCCAAAAATTCACGTTCTTTTTCTAGACGGGCAGATGCCTACAAAGCGGTGAATTTAGGCCCAATTTCAAGGGTCTGCATGGCGACTTGTGATGGGTAATCTCACCTCTTTCCCGCGAACTGATGTTCGAATAGAGGCTGACTTTCCTGTTTGTCCGTCATAAACTGCATTTCTGTCGCCTCAAGGAATTTTGTAAACAACTTCTTTTCTATCCAAATAGCCAACCCTATCCTTAGGATGTACAAGCTGATTTCGCACTATGGTCGTTGATTTGTGCGCCACTTTGATCTGGTGATTCTTCAGGTATCTTTTAACGAGTTCAGTCACGTTTTTAATATATGTAAGTGTTCGCCAAACTCGTGGATTGGGCGCCTGATTGGGACAATCTAGTTCCTTATCTTTTTGTTTTAACTCCTGTCGTCTTATGCATCAATGCACAAACTCCATAGGGTAACCATTTTTGAAAATAGTTTGAACGGGTACTTGATTTCGTTTTGGTAAAGATCGGTGCTAGAACTGTGTGTTCTTGATTAGAATGTTAACAGTACTCAGCTTATGAATAACAGGATGGTTGCTCTCTCACTGTAGACTGTTATCCTACATTTTGCATCGCAGTATAAAATTTTGCTAGATGAAAAAATGCTATTCACTGAAGCAGCGATAGTGTGCGCGCTTCGTTTTTTTCTTGGTACATGACTCTTCGCTATTCCCAGCATCATGAGGCAACTGATGTGTGAATGAGCTTTAGACCTGCAAAGATGTTGACCCGCTGTCGCTACCGTTGTACCACGTCGCAGCTTCCACTGGTTATTTAAGTTCAACGATGATACCCATGTAAGCATTCAGGAAGTCAGGTTAGGCCAACGAACGTTTTCGGTTAATTCATCAACAGGCAAATACAATAATATAAGGGAGGGTAGAGTAAGCAAGATTTCAAGCAATCAGTCAGCAGTAATTAGGATGAAAAGGGGGGTTGTGTTAATGGATCAAAAGTGTCAGATTCTAGTCTTGATTGGGGATCAAAGAGGGGAAAGGGGGGGAGGAGGGGAAGGGGTCCGACAGTTAGTTCATTTCCTCCTGTCGTCCTTGTCTTGCGTTTTGTTGGGAGGTGTGAGGACGCAAGGTATCATCATCTCGTGACGGTGTGGGTGGCCTGCGGATGCTTGCTATCACTGCCTCGTGGTAGGAAGTGTGTGGACGGAGCCTTAGGGCCGCTGCAAACGCCTTCTGCGCACATAAGATTGGATTAGTGAGGCGTATGGCGACGGCCTCTGCCGTCGCAAGTATCCGCTAACGCAGGAACTTGGAATGTTTCACCGGAACTTTGTAGATGACTCTAAACGCTTGCTTTATGTCTACCCGATGACCTCTGTCAACCAAGTGAGCCAAAATCACGCTTGATATTGACTTTACCTCGCCTCTGTTTAGCCAAAACACGATGGTGTTCTCACATACGCTTGAAATGCCTAGTCGTTCGACCAATGTAACCTGTCCCACAGGAGCACATAAAGTTGTAGATACACACTAGAGAGGTTTGAAACAGGAGTCTCTCCTTGCCTTCAAGGTAAAGAAATGGAGTGCTTAAAATACTAATCATAAATTAGCTGCTGGATGCCTACGCGCGACTGCAGCGTTCAAGCGATTGATGAATTGATCGAAAACGTTCGTTCGTCTAACTTGACTTTTGTTGATTACTTGCGTACTCCACAACTAGCTAAAGCGCACATTTTTTATCAATCTTCGCCCGCCTTCTCAGGTTTTATTAGGTAACAGTCCACTGCCAATACAAGCGAACGTGCTAGTCCTAGGAAGTAATTGAGAAGAAGACGACTCAATCGCTGGGACGATACGTTTATTCATCACAGACATTAGCAGGAAACAGTAGCAGAAACGGGTCTGTCTGCTACTGTTTCTGAATGTCAGGCGAATAAACGTATTGTCCCAGCGATCGAGTCGTCTTCTTCTCAGTAACTGTCCATGTTAAGTAACGAGCAGGTCATGGGTGGACAGAGCAATCGCTTTTTATATGGACATGCCCGCGTGCTTTAATAAGCCTGGCGCCTGGGACGATGTGCTTTGCTGAGTATGATGACCTGTTCTATGTGCTAAAATCAATTTTCCTTCTCGCCGGAGGGAAATTTATTCCACGGTCGTGCGATGACAGGCTTATTTTTTTATAGTATCTCCACTCATTTAGCATGGCAGCGCACAGGAAGTTTGTCTGACTGGCCTTTTACTTTCTATGCCCCCTAATTGTCTCAACTTCTTCAAGACCCGATTGTCTTTGATGTTGGCGCAGAACGT